TCAATTGTAGTCACACATGCCCAGGTAGTGGTTAGGGGTGCTGTGAATTTTGCCACAAACATGTTTGATAGATGAACATACCATGTTCAAAGATGTTGATCAGGTGTGCATTGAGCACCTGGTCTGTCTGGTTCTTGCTGAACAACCATGAAGCTTGTTGAAGAGGTTGGCACCGGGTTTTTGCAAAACTGTGCCATGTGCAAAGTTGATGCTGGTTGAAATCAATTGACAGCCATTAGTGTCAATGGGGACTACATAGATTAACACCAAAGGATAGGATATTATTTAAACATTCCATGTATTTATGACTGATATATTTCATTTGTTACACAGCAGGGATGCTGGGGGTAGAAGAATTTGATGGGGCTGTGTGAAAACACACATGCATGAAAAAAGCCAGTTGCACTGTATTGCTAGGCTGGGAAGGAATGCAGCAAAGCAACTTGCAGAATATCCATAAACAGACTGTCAAACTTATCATCAAACAATTGGCTTCCTGTTTGTGACTGGTGAACAAGACATGAGCTGAATCCATATTAGTGCTCAAGAAGATCAAAACTGTCTGTAAGGATGAGCAGATTTTCCCCATTACGTTCCTTTATTGTTCCTTAATTTATCTCTGTGCTTCATTCTACCTCTCCTTAATTCATCTTCTAACAAGGAGAATTTGTTTAAATTAAATCTGGAATGGGAATATGCGCAGTTTAGCAATCTCAGTTTCTTCATTCTGGTTGCATCCCCCCTCCGGTCATACACACCTTATAATATTAAAACCAAAAAAAAGACAACAATATGGCTGTACAATTGCCTCAGTTCCTTTTTGTTTGTAGTGTTCTTTGGATTTGCAGGTGTGATCCTATGCGCTGGTTAAAAAAACCACACAAAAAGAATAGTGATGTAACTGTATGCTTCTACATTAAGATTTGCTTTTATGCAGTGATAACACAGAGGAGGAAACAAACAGGAGGATTTGATAAGTGTGTCAAAATATGCACGCACCCAAACTCTGCACAAAATTTGGGAACACGAAGAGGAGCAATAGATGGGTTTCTTAATGCAGTGGTTTCACTTGAGGTGAAGACGGTCAGGTCACATGGAACTCTGGGGAAATTTGGACGATCAGCATTTTGGAAGCATCTTTGCTTACCTACGTCTTGTACAGGAGCAGGAGAAATGCTTGAGTTGATCCTTCTGAGTAGGTTTTTTTATGTTTGTAAGAGAAGCATCAGAATTCAGGAAGTAGTACACCATGCGCCTGAGCTGACTGCAAATACTTGGCTTACACTCAAACGGTTCCACACGCTTTGTTCCAAAAACTGGGACTGTGTCTTGGATAACTGCTGCAAGAAGAATTCCCTGTGTTTATGCAGAGATGAATAAAGCTATATATGGGTAACCTCGAAATAACTTTAGACATCTTAGGGTGAAAAGCCAGCTCTTTCTCACAGTTGCATCTGGTTTCATACATTGCTTAAATTGTGTCTCTTTGGGATTGTGTAGCCTGGGTAGCCAGCAGAGCACATTTGCCAAGAGGTCCATTGGAATTTTTGTGCCTAAAACTTGAACTTGCTTTGTGGCCTTAGGCAACCCACTTCTTCTCAGCTCCCCGTCTGTAATAACGGAGATAATCATGCAAACCTACCTTGATAGGATTGCAATAAGACCATGGATGTGAAGTAGGGTTGCCAAGTTGATTTTCGCCGGGACCGGGGGGCTCCCAGCCGGCGTCAGTTGCGTGTGCGCGCAAAGCACCCACGCACCGCATGCACGTCACCCGGAAGTGATGTGACGACGCCAGGCACGCTGGGGGCGGGGCCACGGCCATACAAGGGAAAACCATAGAGTTTTCCCTTGGATGGCCGTGGCCCCGCCCCCAGCGTGCCGGCATGGTCGCGTCACTTCCGGGTGACGTGCACGTCGGGGAGGAGTTCCCCCCGGGGCCCGATCCAGTGGCGGTGGGGAACGGGCCTCTGGGCTGGGGGTTTCCCCGCCCCCCGGGGGGACTTGGGAAGCCTAATGTGAAGTGCTTTGGACACTCCAAAGCAGTGTTCCCTCTAAGCTGAGTTAGTGTGAGCCAGCTCACAGTTTTTTAGCTTCCAGCCCACACATTTTTGTCTGAGCTCAGGGAGGGATGGCTCCAGGGCAAACTAATTGATGCAGTGGCCAAATCGCTTGCTCACAACTTTAATGCCAGTAGCTCACAAAGTAGAATTTTTGCTCACAAGACTCCACAGTTTAGAGGGAACATTGTTTTACTTTCTTCTTCATACGATGTCTCCGGCGAAGAAGTATCACTGGGGCTTCTTTATGCCAAACAAATCAGAAGCTAATAATCCTCCAAAGTCTGTTCCCATCTGATCACTGGCTTAATAGGGGAGCGCTGCTCAATTCGAGGCCAGTAGCTCCATAGATGACATGACAACAAGATTTTCAGGGTACGGGTTTTTGAGACTCAGAACTCCGTTTATCAGATACTGCAGATGGCTCCCCTTGACTCCAGTGATGATGAAGAGATCTTTGACTCTCAGAACTCTCCTTGGTCTCTAAGGTGCTTCTAGACCAGGGGTGGCCAAACTTGCTTAATGTCAGATCCACATGGAATATACGTCAGATGTTTGAGAGCCGCAAGACATGAACAAATATTACACACGTGTTTTTATTGGGAAATATGCAAATTTGCTTTTATTAATATTAAATTGATAACTTTAGATGGGGAGGGAGGGGAGAAAGAAAGGTGGAAAGAAAGTGGAAAGAAAGCAAATAGATGTGGGGGGAGGGAGAGGTGGAAAGAAAGCAACTTTAACATTAAATGTGTCCTCCAAGGGCCCCCCCCCACGCCCCCACGCCAGCTAGCTTGGCTTGGAGAAGGGATTTAAACAGGGCTCTTTTTGTAGAAAAAGCCCTGCAGGAACTCATTAGCATAATAGGCCACACCCAACACCAGAAACATATTAGCATATTAGGCCACACCCTTGCCATCGCAGCTCATTAGCATATTAGGCCGCACCCCCGTGTTACCAGAAGTGTGGTTATCCAGCCACACCCACCTTTTGCTTGTTATTCTGTTTACCTTGTTTGTTGTCAAAACCCAGGGCTTTTTTGTAGCAGGAACTCCTTTGCATGTTAGGCCACACACCCCTAATGTAGCCAATCCTAATGAATTTCTGCTGTTTGGTGAGGCCTGTTATGCTAATGAGTTCCTGCTGGGCGTGGCCAACTTGGGAGCCAGCCGGGACTCCGTTCCTGTGCGTTCATGCCCAAACATAGCCCTGGATTTAAAGAGACAAATGCCTTCTCCAAGCTGGCGGGGGGGGGGGGGGCTTTGAGAATGCATTTAAAGTTCAAGTTGCTTTCTTCCTCTGCACTGGCTGGGGAAGGGAAGATCAATATGTGTGAAAGAGCAGCACGTGGCTCCTGAGCCACAGTTTGGCCACCCCTGTACTAGACTCTGATCTATACTGCAGACAAACACAGTGTCATAGGTGGCGGCGATGGCGCCGGGCCCCTGCCTGAGTTGGCGGCTGCTGAGATGCGCACTGGCAGGGAAGGCGAGCGCCAAGCCCTGAGTACTAACAGGAGCAGCACCGCTGCTCAGGGAAGCATGGCCGGAGGCCTATATAGCTCCTGCTTGGGAGTGGGCTCTCCGTGGAAGCAACGAGTCGTATCCGTGCTGACCTCGCACCCACTCCTGCTCTTGGAGCTCACTCCTGTTCGGATTTCTGGCTTCCTGGCCTTCTGCTTCGAACGACCACTCTCTTGGACTCTCTCCTCGGCTCCTGTTCTGTCTTTGCTGGCTACGACCCCCAGACTGGACCTGACTCCTGCCTTTCAGCCCAGCCCATGACACACAGCTAACCTCTGAAACTATCTTCTGGGGAAGGGTTGTGGCTCAGTGACAGAGTATCTGCTTCTCATGAAGAAGGTCCCTGTTCAATCCCTGACATCTCTAGCTAAACGGATAGGATTGCCAGCCCCCAGGTCTCAGCGGGGGTTCCCCCACTTTTGGGGGCTTTGATCTGCCGCTGGCCAGCAGGGAAACCCCACTCCCAAACAGGGACATCATCATGCGACGTCCCCGATGCAATGACATCAATTCTGGGTGACGTTATCGTGCCAAGGATGTTGCACAGTGACACTCTGGTTTTTGGGCAAACTCTATGGTTTTGAAGGCAGAAAAACCCATAGAGTTTTGCTGAAAAAGCAGAGCATCGTGTGTGATGTCACTGATGTGATAACATCACTTCTGGAGGACGTCATCTCATCAGGGACATCATGTGCATCATCCCCCCCCATCCCTGGAACGCCCCCCAAGACCCCTGCCACAGTGGCGAAGGGACCTGACAACCCTATAAAAGGATCAGATGGTAAGTGATGTGAAAGACCTCTGCCTGGAGCCCTAGAGAGCCATTGACAGTCTGAGTAGACAATGCTTACCTTGCTGGACCAGATTCATGTCTTCACATGGTCCTCAAGTCTGCCCCATCTCATTGCTGGAGTCAGGTGGAGCCACCTGCCATTTCTTCATTGGAATTTACTATATGCAGGGGTCATTTCCTGCAGGAGCTCACAGGAGCGGAGCTCTGGCAGTAAAGAGCCCAGGGGGCAGGCACATGCAACAAGCCCCACCCCCTGCTCCCAGCAGCCCTCAGTCAGAGCAAGACACGGCCAGGTAAGTTGCAGAGTCCCCCCCCGGCCCCCCAGTCCAAAACAGTCCAGTGACATCTTTAAGACCAGGTTTTATTCAGGTACAAGCTCTCCCTCCTCTGTGAGGACAGATCTGCACCCCCCCCCCAATAGCCAGCAATCCAAAACAGTCCAGTGGAGCCTGAGTGGTGGGTGTTGCCTTCTGAAACACTTCCGGTGATGTCAGGGGGTGTGGCATATGCAAATGAGTTATGCTAATGAGTTATGCTAATGAGCTCCTGCACCTCTTTTTCTACAAAATGACCCCTGACTATATGACTCTTTTTTCAAATTAACTTTTGCTGCCTCTTTTCTAGGGCCGAGCCAGTTCTCTCACGAATCCAGGGGAATCGAAAAAGGGTTATCCTTCCTTCAATTGACAACATCAAGCAGGACACCTTTGAGGTTCAGCGATATGAAAATTCAGCCCATGGATACAGTTGGGAGCTGTGGTGCATGTACATCAGCCCTCCGAAGGACTGGTGGGATGCTGGAGATCCCTCGCTGCCAATCAGGTAGGTTGTGGCACTCTTTGGCATACAAGGGCATTCTTGTAAACAAAGCAGGTAGAAACTGCAGGTTCTCTAGAACGTGTTTCTGATATGCATGTGGAAGAATTAATTACATGGCTAAGCTGAAAAAGTATCCACCATAATTGGTTGTGTTTATGCAAAGTCTCAGTAAGAGATGTTGGATTACATTCACAGTTTTATTAACTTGGAGAAATGATTGAGTTAAAAAGAAATAACACAAGAGGCTTCGTATGTATTAACATTACCTAAGATGCAGAATGTATTATCAACACCTCTGGGGGGGGGTTGTCATCTGTATTACTAATAAGGTTGCCAGGAGGATGAAGGGAGACTTACCAGGGGAAAGAGAAAGGCCCAGGTGATGTCATACAGGAAGTGATGTCATCACACTGAGATGTTGCAACGATGCCCTGGCATTTGAGCTAAAACTCTATGGTAAAAATGACTTCTACTATAGAGTTTGTGCCCGAATACAGGAGCTTCACCCAGAAGTCTCCAGCGTGATAATGGCACTTCCTGTGCGATGTCGCCTGGGCCTTCTTCTTTCTCCAGGTAAGTCCCCTCTCCAGCCAGCTGATCGGCAACAGGGGGTAGGGCCTGGTATCAGGGGACCCCCACCTCCATGGGGAGGGGGTGGAAACTCTGATGACTTATTGTGAGCTTGAGAAATATTGCACTAAGATGAAAGTGCCATTTTTTCCCCATTTGAGTATATATGGCCCTATGGTTTCAAACAATGAATTTTTGGAGGGGCAAGATATCTATTATTGACTGTAGTTTACCACGCTTTTCAACCAAGCAACTCACATCCAAACCAATGTAAATATCAAAACAAAATTTAAAAGGTGGTTGGGGAAGGAGTTCTCAATAGGATATGAGTATAGCATGATAGGACGCCTGGCTGCTACGCGTCCCTTCTCTTTGATGGACTGTCACTTGACGATAATGGTTGGCACTGCAACTGGGAGGTCAGGTTTTTATTTAGTTGTTTCCTGTGCCTGCTCTAGGCAATTATTCACATATAAAGCATAAAGTACAGTCCGATTGCCATAAAACCTATCAAACCAATTAAACCAATAAATAAGGTTGCCAGGTCCATCTTCATCCCCAGCGGGGGACTTTGGGGGGGCATTCCCAGAGGGGGCGGGGCATCCCGAATGTGATGACGTCGGGCCCCACGTGCCCAATCTCTGAGCAGCGTTTTGCCCTGGCTGCCTGCACTTGAAGGGTTCTCAAGAGAAAAGGGAGAGGGGTGGCTGTGGGTGTTGGGGCCTGGGGGCGGGGCTTCCCCCACCAGCCATCAGGCCGGGGCGGGTCGAAGCCCCCAAAAGTGGATAATCCCCACCAATAGGGAGTCTGGCAACCCTACCAGTAAAAGAGCAACAAGAAGAGAAGAGATTGGATTTATATCACGCCCTTCACTCGGAGACTCAGAGAGGCTTACAAAATCCTTTCCCCTCCCCTCCCCACAACAGACACCCTGTGAGGTAGGTGGGGCTGAGAGAGCTCTGACAGAAGATGCTCTTTTCAAGAACACCTCTGACAGAACTATGGCTTGGGCTCTTTTTGTAGCAGGAACTCATTTGCATATTAAGCGACACACACCCTAATGTAGCCAATCCTCCAAGAGCTTACAGTAGCTCCTGTAAGAAGAGCTCTGTAAGCTCTTGGAGGATTGGCTACATTAGGGGTGTGTGGCCTAATATGCAAAGGAGTTCCTGCTACAAAAAGAACCCTGGACCGTTTGCCCAAGGTCATCCAGCAGCTGCAAGTGGAGGAGTGGGGAATCAAACCCGGTTCTCCCATAGATTAGAGTCCACACACTTGAGAAACAGCAGAGTACAGAAACAGTACAGTTGAAATGGAAGAATAAAACCTCAGTTTTCCTGTGAGGCCTTCCACAATAAATACATCTTCAGTTGCCTCCGGTGAACTGGAGCACCATTCATGTTTAGAGATACCTAGGGTTGCCAACCTCCAGGTGGCACCTAGAGACCTCCCACTAGGATCAGTTCCCCTGGAGAAAATGGCTGCTTTGGAGGGTGGAGTCTATGGCATTGTACCCTTCTGAGGTCCCTCCCCTCCTCAAACCCCACCATCCCCAGGCTCCACCCCCAATATCTCCAGGTATTTCCCAGCACAGAGCTGGCAACCCTAGGATACCAAGCTTCAAGCTTGGGGTCTGGAGTCCTCCTGGAATGACAGTATAGCTCCAGACTACAGAGATCAGTTTCTTCGAAGGAAATGGCAATTTTGGAGGATTGACTGTATAGTATACTGTAGAGACTAGGAGAGACAGAAGTCCTAGAGTGACGTCCCAGTAGGGTTGCCAAGTCCATCTTCCACCCCCAGCGGGGGACTTTGGGGGCGTTCCTGGAGGGGGCAGGCCATCCCCGACGTGGTGATGTCATGTTGGGGACGTCCACCGCCGCCCCCCACCCATGCGCCAGATCTCCAGAAACGGCAGTTCCCTGCACTTAAAGGAGCCGGCGTTTCCCTTTTAAATGCAGGAGCCGGCGTTTCCCCTTTAAGAGCAGCTACGTTTCCCTTTTAAGAACACGAAGCCGGCATTTCCCTGCAAGCTTGCAGAGATTCGGCTTGGGAGGAAACACGGGTTCCACACACTTAAAGGGAGAGAGATGGGTGGCTGTGGGTGTAGGGGGCGGGGCTTCCCCCGTCAGCCATCTGGCCAGTGGCGGGTAGAGACCCCCCCAAAAAAATGGGGGACCCCTGGCAAACCGGGGAGGTTGGCAACCCTACGCCCCAGCAGGGCTAGCTGCTCTCTGCTTATTTCTGCAGATCTGCAGCAATTGTGATTTCTAGGTGGGGAAACAGGAAAACATGTGCTTCTCCAGGCCCCCTTGCATAGGTCAGTGTTAGCACTGAGCTCCCGGCAGTTAGGGGTTGGTAGTGGGCCCTTCTGAGTCCACATCAACTGGCCAGCCCTTCCAACTCCAGGTCCCCCGGGGGGGTGGGGAAAACCCCGCTCGATGGGTCCGTTCCCTGCCAGCCCGGATCAGGCCACCGGGGGGGAACCCAACCCCCAAAGTGCCGGGAGCACAGAGACGTGCCCGGCATGATGACATCACCTGGAGGTGACATCATCGTGTCGGGCACGTTGTGGGGGGATGCTCTATCATTCGAGGGAAAACTCTATGGTCTCCCCTTGAATGATAGTGCCCCCGCCCCAACGTGCCCGACACGATGATGTCACTTCCGGGTGATGTCATTGTGGCGCGTGCACAAAGCGCATGTGCCAAAGAACTCCCAGGGAGGGCTGGGACTCCCCCCACTAAAGAAGAAGAAGAAGAAGAAGAAGAAGAAGAAGAAGAAGAAGAAGAAGAAGAAGAAGAAGAAGAAGAAGAAGAAGAAGAAGAAGAAGGGAGGAGATTGGATTTATGCCCCGCCCTTCACTACCCAAAGGTGTCTCAGAGCGACTTACAAACTCCTTTTCCCTTCCCCTCCCCACAACAGGCACCCTGTGAGGTAGGTGGGGCTGAGAGAGCTCTGACAGAAACGGCTCTTTTTCAAGAACAGCTCTTATCAGAACTATGGCTTGCCCAAGGTCATCCAGCAGGTGCAAGTGGAGGAGTGGGGAATCAAACCCAGTTCTCCCAGATTAGAGTCCGCGCACTTAACCACTACACAAAACTGGCTCTCAAGGTAGGACTTGGCAACCCTGTCCCGATGCCATCACCACCTCTGCTTAAACCTAAGATTACGCTCCCTTCCCCCCCATCAGTGTCCCTTCCAGCTGCTTCCCACTGCGCTGCCCTTGTGTCCTTGTGTCCTTGTGTCTTCGCCCATTTTTACATTCAAGATTGGGCCAGTCACGGTTCTCTCAGAACTCTCTCAGCCCCCACCTACCTCACAAAGTGCCTGTTGTGGGGAGAGGAAGGGAAGGAGATGGTGAGCCGCCCTGAGACTCTTTTGGGTAGTGAAGAGCAGGGTATAAAAACCAACTCTTCTTCTTAAGACCTCTCCATCTCTACCTAGTTTCCCTGCCTTTCCTTCCTAATGTTTTTTTTTTCCTATTATTATTATTTCACAATTGTAAATCTGCAGGCAAGGGGTTCTTTATTTTTTATCTGAACGGTACCTGGCCATTTAGAGAATAAAGCTTATTGATTTGAAAATAGCCTTGGGAAAAGTGATTCCAAGCCGGAGCCCGACGCTTTGGAGCGCTATTAGCTGGGTAAACCTAATGATACTGGCTGTGTGTCGTCGAGGGAAGTTGATGAGTGAGAGAAATTCATAGACACATGCCCCGTTTTATATATAATGTGTACCCTGACATAAAAATGCCTTTTTGATTATTTTGCCTCATAAATGTGTGCTCCAAACTGTATGATTCATGGCAGTGCACTGCTCCTTTGAAAAGAAAGAGCCACAGTTGAACTTATTTTTCCTTCTTCTTTAACTACAAAATGATGCGCATTAAACATTTATGGTATGCAGAGCAATAATCTCTTCTTCCCCCATTTTTTAAAAGCACGTTAATCTTTTCAGAGGGGATGTCGTGAAGGAGGTGAATCACAGTGGAAGTGATGGGGGAATTGTTTCGCCACGGATGTTTGACAAAAGGAAAAATACTAAAATGCTTGTTTACAGAGCTGGATTACAACACAAGCTACGTTAGGGTTGCCAGGTCCCCCTGGCAACTGGTGTGGGTGGAACTTACTGGCAGCAAGGAAAAACCTAGGCGCACACCAGAAGTGATGTCATCACATCACCGGTGGTGTGGGGCGCTCTGGTAGTTGGGCAAAAACTCTATGGCAGAAGCCGTTTTTACCATAGAGTTTTTGCCCAAATACCAGAGCATCCTGAATTGCCAGTGATGCACTGATGTCACATCCAATGCTCGCAGCAGATCTTAATCTAGCCCTGCTTGTTGTTGCCCTAGAGTGAGATTCGCCATACTATAGTGGCTGGAGTGCTGGACTACGAACTGGGAGTGTGTGTGTGTGTGTTAAGTGCCATCAAGTTGCTTCCAACTTATGGTGACCCTATGAATTAATGACCTCCAAAATGTCCGACAGTTAACAACCTTGCTCAGATCTTGCAGACTGAGGGCTGTGACCTCCTTGACTGAGTCAATCCCTCTTGTATTGAGTCTTCCAGAAGAAGAAGAAGAAGAAGAAGAAGAAGAAGAAGAAGAAGAAGAAGAAGAAGAAGAAGAAGAAGAAGAAGAA